ATGAAAAATGGGCCAATAGTGGTCGAGGGCGGCCCAATGCTGGCCAGCACCGGGCCATCTTCAGCCTACCCTGAGCCTTTTCTCATCTCCTAAGAAGGTGGAATGACCGTTCTCGTCCTTTTCATCGTCGATCGATCTCACAGGACTTAGTGGTTTAGAAATCCGATCTTCTACCTTACTTCGTAAATTTTTCGGGGAGAAAATCTTTCTCTCTGTCAAGAATACGATAGATCCCAAAAAGTCTTTTGAAGTTTTTGATGCAATGAGTGGTTCCAAAGGTATTCGAAAGAAAATGTGAGTGGAATTTTCATATTGTGTATCTGCTTCACTCTTTCCTACCATTTGTAGTTGAACAGTAAATAATTCGCATTGTCAACTAAGAAATCTGAAGACCCAGATTCACAAAAGAATGCTTTCATCTCTAAATGTTTTTGTCTCACTATTCACCCACATGAACCTTGACTTTTCTTCAAATTCATGTGACTATAGACCATAATTATGCATATAACAACAAAAACTAAATTCCTCTTGAATCTCAGAGCGCCGTTACCTTAACATATCGTTTGTAGTTTTCTCTGCGACATAACACATTCTAGTTTCCTAAAAACCGTTAGCTCACTGCATTATTCACAAATTCACCTCTACCGTATTTTTTCTCTCCACACACACCATCTTCAAGCTTAATTCGTGCTCGGTATAAGTTAGTGGGTGCGGATTACACATGAGTGGATAACAGGAAGTATTTAACTCCTTCGTAATAAAATTATGAACATTTCATTCAAATTCTCTTCCTTCTCTTCGTACGGATATAAGATCGAAATGTTTTAAATTCATCAAAAAAATAGAAAATTGTTGTTTCTCTTATTATTTAGAACGTTCTCAGCATAAATCCCTACTGAAATAGTTGAATAACATCACTGACTTCCATTTTGAGATCAATTTTTGGGTAAATACCGTAGACCCCAACAGAAAGGGTGAAATTGTCAATGATGTTGCTTGTGTATGGCTCTCATTTTGCTTTACATGAAAGATCCTTATGATAATTGTCTATTTCCGGTAAGTTCAGAAATATTACCTACTTCGTTGTACTTCTACGTGTTATGGATCAATTAAAAACTGTGAAGAAGAGAGAAAAATAGTTCGTCATGATGCAAACGGGAAACTTAGAAAAATAGTCAACGATTAAGTTGCAAAGAAAAATTACCTAGCAAAATTCATGTGCACCATAAGCGTGACGCTTGCACCCCTGGGAAGTTATTTTGCAGCACCAGAAAAATCATTGGGAGCACCGTAATTTTTCTGGTTTAACACGATAATTTTTCTGGTGCTGAACGATAATTTTTCCAAGGGTGCAAATTGCGCCACGTTTACGGTACTAACACATGAATTTTTCTAGGTAATTTTTCTCCACGGTTGAATTCTCCGCTTTCTTATTTCTCAGTACAATAATATCTTGTGTTAGGCGCTTCTCCACTAACTATATGTTTATTCCCCAATGTAGTTGATCCGATGAAGAGTAATTTCGAGATTCGAATTTCCGAAACAAGAGAATAAGTTGGTGTAGACTTTGATTTTGCATTGAGAAAAAAAAATTTTTGCCGAATTGATTTATTTTTTCTAAATCAATTTCTCCAATCGAGTCATTCCCAGCCAAACCTGATTAGGTTTCAATTATGACAGTCGTCTTGCTCTAGACGATGACTATGCTGTACATGACCTTGGATGAACTCCTTCAATAATTATTTATTTTTCCTAAATTTTGTATTTTCTAGAGGGAAAAATTTTGATCAATTTTTTAATGCTGATAATGATTGAGGAAGTTCACTCAAAATCATAACTAATATGATCATCTTCTAGAGCAATATAATTGGCATAATTGAACCCTAATGAGGATTGTTTGGGAATGACTCGACAGGACAAATGTGGTATTGACAAAATAAATACTTCTCTCAAATAAATGGATATTTGCTTTATTTGGCAAAAACAATTTTTTTTCTCAGTTTGTCATACTTAAATAGTCATGGAAGCGGTTGGAAAAATACGTCTCAATTGTCCTCTTACAGTTCGACTACGATACATGAGTTCGCAAGTCCAAAAAAGAGAACGTGATAGATTCAGTGAATTTATAGAATAGTTGATTTTAGAATACTCAATCGACGGAAACTTTTGACAGATATAAGAACATCCTAATCCCCACAGATGTACCGTCGAGCGCTAAAGTTCGTGAACAGCCTGAACTTGCATTCTATGTATTCTGTTTACGAACTTTAGTGCTCGACTGTATTAAGTTCAATAGAATCTTTCTCATGTCAGTTCAAAATTCCTTACTCATCTGCACCCAATAACGAGTTAGCTCGGTACTTGCAAACGAAGATACAAATTATGGTAATTTAATAGCAAATTAAAGTTTTTACTGTAATTACTCTCCCCATGCAATGAGATATCGTATCCTTATGCACTAATAAATCAGGAGTGAAGTGGTAAAACGGTACAAGTCAATTTCGACTATTCAGATAGCAAAATTTTTGTTACAACCTTTTTTGTATAGCTGATTGAGAGAAAATGTGATTACGAAAATTTCGCTATCTCCCTTAGATTCGGAAATATGCCTCAAAAACTCAACTGGGAGATAAGTCGATTAAAACCGTTTTACCCCTTCGCTACTAAAATAATAAAGAATAGATGATTTCAGTTTTGTTCGAAGAATTAAAGGAAGAAGGCTAACATAATTGCTCACCTTGTAAAGCTTACAGGAATTTATTCTTCTATCACTCAATCCAAAGCAGCGTATCTTAGGTTTAATAATACGTCATGTATAATTTTTTGATGTACTAGTTTGATTTGATCCTTTGTTCAATTGCTTGTTCCGTTGTTCTACGTTTTATTTTATTCCACGATCAGTTCGTTGAATTCGGTTCTGGATTAATTACATTATGTATGCGTGTTCTGCATACTGGATAGTCACAATAAGCAATTGTGCAGCTTATCATCGGACTCCGTGAACTGTTCATATTTTCATTCAATTCCCTGCACTGATCATTCAATAGATTGCAACCCTCACACTCGTCAGAAAGTTTTTTTCGGCCTTATGACGAAAATAGCGATTTTGTCTAGCCGGCCGTAATGCAGCAATTTAATTTGTAGTCTACGGCCGTTATAAATAACATTTTGAGATCTTTCCCTGCACTGACAAAAACAACGTTTTTTGAGAAGTACGTCTTTACTTATATCAAGAAACTCACGGCTTGAAAATTTTTAAGAGCAAAATATCTTCCACTAAGAAAAAAAACTATCGTCAAGAAATTTTGTACTTGTCCTAAAGACGAGGACAATTTCTTGATGACAAGAAAGAAAATTTCTCAAACCAAGTAAAATTGAATTAATCCATTTCATAGTTTTTAGCCGCCATTCTGAATTATTTTAATGCAAAAACCATTTGAATTCATTTGAGAACTGGTTTTCTTGATATGAATCAATTGCCCTCATCTTTCGAACAAGTATACAATTTCTTTGCGTAAGATTTTTTTTTCTTAGTGTGAGATATTGTGCGCTTGGTAATTATCGACCCATGAATTTCTCGATACAAGTAAAGACGTTCTTCTCAAAGACTCCTGTCTTCTTAGTGTGATGTTTCTTGTTCCCAAGAAAAACCTATCATTAAGGATGTTTATCCTACGTTTTCAGTTATTTTGAAATTGATCATTTCCCTAATAAAAGACTCCAGAAATAATAATAAAAACAGAGGGCAATAAGAAAAAACACATTGAACCCTATGGCCAAAATGAAGAGGTGCTTCGGGAAAATGATGGGGATGCAAAACATTTGGGCAAAACATTAACCCCCATTTAACCCCGTGGTACTACCTACCTTTTGTACGTATTCATTCCATTATTCTTTATTAATTTACTCTGCCGACTCTATATCCTAAGAACAAGAATGAAGAAGTAATCTTATATAAAAAGGAGATGTCACCCATTTATTTCTAAATGTCTGAAAGAGAAATCGCATACATGATGATGATGATACCGATTTTGGTGGTAATGTTGGTATTGATGATTTCCAACGAAATATGTATTGATTCTCAATTGAAGTTTTCATGGATTTCAAAGAATTTTCCAAAGTCTTTTAACAGAAGTTTCGATAGATTTCTATGGAAAATCCTTTGCTTTCAATGCAAGTTTTCATAGCTTTCGCCGTATCTCCCATTGATTCTCGATGGAAATTTCCATCCCTTTGGAATAAAAAAAAATCATGGATTTTCAATAGGAGTTTTCATTCCTTCCCACGAATTTCTCCTTAGTAATAGCATGGAAATCCGTATACGTGAAAGAACATATTGATTCCAATCAACTCAAATAATAATGTTTATTTTATTTTATTGGTTTAAAATATAAAACCCATATCCAGGTTATTTACACTATCGGTGACATTCATACATTTTATTTTTACATTGCTTTACTACATATTTATTGATTATATGCGGAGGTTACACTTGATAAAGAATTTGTCTATAACCGAAAGAGCTTCGGAGTAAATAATAATGTGATGAATCATATAAAATCTATCAGATTGTCAGGCGCGCGGAGCGCCTTCGATCACCTTCGTTCTTGTTTTAAAAAATAGTGAAAAATGACGAGGGACGTTCAGTGCTGACCTAAGACCCTGCGAGTCAGTGTCCTCGTGTCCTTGTACCTCGTATCCAACGATTAAAAAAACTCATGACTAAAACATAAGAATGAACGATAGAGTCACGCCCAAGGGGCAATGCTCTCACTACATACCAGGAAACCAGGATCAAGGTTTTTGATCGCAGTAGAAAATAAGAGTCTAGCGTAATCTCCAAAGATTCCACCCCCCCCCCCTCTTCACCCTCATCATCAGGAATCACACACACGGCATCCTGGTACCGTTGACATACCGATCGCTCCTTTGCCCCTTGGCAGTCTTCCCATATAAGCAAACACCCGTCTATAAAGCCGATAAAAAACGTTTCATTTCAGGTGTGACGGGAATTCAGAACGAGCCAACGTCCTCGAGGGCTTCCAGAGAGGATGTGGTGCTCAGTGCAAGTTCATTTGCACCGGAAAAAACGACGTCGTTAGAGTCTTTTCGTGAGGGCGATGAGGGATCGAGAGATTTTGTTAGCACACAGCCTGTGATTCAGTTAGAGAGCTCGAGGAGTCATGGGAGTGGAGAAAAATCGACCTCCAAGGTGAGATTCGAGGATACGAGTCATGAGAGCCCTTTGGATGCTGAGGTGACTGCGTCCAAACATGTGGAGCATATTGATGAGAATAATATCGAGGTGAAACCCCCGGAGTATCATGAGTAAGTAAAAATGAATGATTTGTCATGGGAGATGGGGAAGGGATTTCGTGAAGATTTTTTCATTAGATTAAATTTTTTTATTAGATTAGATTATAACTACTCCAAAGAATTTTTCGAGGAAACTGAATTAATTCGTCATTTAACAAAGGAATTGTTATCAATATAATCAATTTAACAAGGAAATTGAAATCAATAAGAAATTTGAGTCGGACTCAATTAGCAAAAACAAAAATTCAAAGCCATTTGTGGTTTGAGGTGATTAGCAAATCTGATCAAATTGCGGTTCAACGATACTTGTTGTCTATAAAACCCCCGTGACGGTTACGATCCAAAAAACTAACTTTTAATTCAACACATTCAGTGTTCCTGATTTGAAGGAAAGAAAAATAAATAAAAACTACCAATTTTCTGTCAGTGGTCCATTTTGCCCTGCGGTCTGTTTGTGGGGTTCATACCAGCTGCGTACCCTGGATAATGTTAAGTGCTGGTCAAGCTTGATACTTTAAGAATAAGTGCTTCACTACACGTTGAATTTATATAAACATCTCACAATTGAAATTATAAAAAACGGCTTTTGGAAGAGAAAGCGTAGAATGGCTCCCGTACATCTACATGAGCATCCGTGTTACTAAGTGTGATAGTTCAAAGAGGGTAAATTCATTTATAGCAACCAGTTTCCGGCCCAATATACGTCGAAATACTTCAAGATCAATATAAAAACTATAATATTTACCTATCAGTATCCTGAAAAAAATGGAGGTGCTATATTATCTAATTACCATTTATCCGTTGATATTCATTGAAGGTCTAATGAGAGTACATAACTGTGTACTTCCTATAATTTGAATGAAACATCGTTTATACAACACTTCAGAGAACGGATAACAAAAGCGGTTTTTGGGACGGTTTTTGCACGGAGAGAAATTTTCTAGAAAAATAAAAATACGAGTACTGGAAAAAATTACAATTCACCGGCTGTGAAAAATTCTAGTGCTGTTAAGATAAAATTTCTTGGTATTTCTGGTAAAATTTCTGGGGATTTCTGTGAAATTTTTACAGAAATACGGGGAAAAATTCACGTTTTCTCCAATAAAATTTCTAGTGCCGGCACTAGAATTTTTTCCTGGCCGTCACTTTATGCCTCTTTTCCCGTGCTAGCACTAGAATTTTTCTAAAAAATTTCTCTCCGTGTGGGACATTAGAAGGAGTGGGTTTATCAATTTTAGTTTATTCATCATCTTGACAGTGAATGACGATAGGAGAAAATATTAGAAGACTTTCTTAAAAAGCCTCATAGAGAGAAGGAAGTTTCAATTTTTACGGATCCTAATTTTTACACTATTAGCAAATTCTACCAAAAAATTCAGTTCTTGGATATGTTTATCAAGTGACAATTCTATACTGAAATTTCAAGACATTGTGTCACTGAAGATTCACAATTTGATGAAAACATCACTAGAAACTGTAGCCTCGGTAGTTAGTCGGAGTAGTCTCGGTATGAGCTCGCGGGGAGTTTGCCCATTTAGGGATGTTTAACCCTAGATTGGTCACACTATGAGGGAAACCCCGCCGCGCGTCGTTTTTCTTTAATTACAATTGACTGACTAACCGCAAAAATTCGAAAAAAATTAACTTTGTCAATTGAAGTGTCTAAAAAATTATAATAATTTTTTAAATAAGATATCCCCCAAAATTTCTAAAAAAAACAAATAATTTCGAACAAATGAATTATTTTTTTCCACATTAAATGTAATTGCCCATGACACGACGTTGCCGGAAACTCGCTAAACGCGCCTGGGCAGTGTAGAGTGAATTCGGCAACGCTAAAGCATAAATAACACGACGGGGAATCCCCGCGCAGGTGACCAAAGTCGCAGGGATGCGTTTGATGACCAGACTAGGATTAAGGATATCCAAGTACTTCGTTCAAATTGGCAACTTTTTTTCAAGCAAGATTTCACTTTTGTCGAAAATCTTGCCGTCCCCATACTTTTTCGGATTTTTCATTATTGAATACATTTTTTCGGGAATTTCTTCAATGAATATTGTGAACAATATTTTATTCAATTTCACACTTGACTCTCGTTGGTCTAACCTCTGATGATTATACGGCAACACTGCACATGTGTTGTATATAACCTCGTAAATTCGGTCCGAGTAGTCACTTGAGCGGACTGTTGCCAGACGTCAGGAACGCACGGGTTCAAACCACCCAATATGGCCGTCGTATCAATCAAGAAGCTTTTAATTTGATTGTTTGCAATTATCTGTCCGAAAACTTATGTTTTTTAATGTCGCAAAAAAACTAGAGAGTGTAACGAACAAAGTCATATACGGTTATGTGTACGAGAAAACGCTTTAAGACTATGAACTATTGGATTGAAGGTAGGAGTATACAGCTCTTATGGACGCAATGTGTTAAATTTCATTCTTTCAAAAATCGTTTTCTCGAAAATATGTTCGGAAACTAAAGTTTATACTGCCCAGGTAAGAATTACATAGGCTGACGATGAGAACAAGCCTGTATGAGCCCAGGGTTGGTGAGGCTCAGTTATCCAGGCCTGGGATAGGCTTGGTTTCACCGTTCACTTGAGCTTCAAATGAGGATGATTAAAGGGGCCATTGGCGAGGCTCAATTCAGGCCTAGTCCAGGCTTTCAGTATTTAGGCTCAGTACGTCAAGGCTTATTCAGGGCTCAGCAAGGCCTCGAAAATTAAAGTTACTTCCGATTAATTTCCTCAATTTGTATATCAATACTCATCAGCTAATGGTGGTGAAAACATTATCATCATCTACAAACATAGCTATAATTTTCCGCCAAGTTATCTAAGCTAACCCCAGGCCAGGCGTAGAGCAGCTCTTTGTGCACGTGGCTACATAATTATTATTATCCTTATCTATAATTAATTAATCAATCGATTCTGAACTCATAAATCCATTGGACCCATAATTCATTCAAGCTTAGGAAGTTTAATTAGGATATCAATAAAACAACAAAATAACACGAACGCAAGTTGAATTTTTATACTCGAAAAAAATGTATCATCCTACGAAGTCGCAGGTAGCCCAGTGGATAGCGCGCTTGTCTACACTTGTCTTTAAATGTTTGATTCCATTGTATTTCAATTTCCAGGTGCGCGGTAATAATCCAGGACGAATAATTAATAAAAACTAATGATGATAATAATTTTTTTCCCATCCATTGTTAATTAACCAACAATCACAATCACCAACAACGCTTAGCAACAGTGATGTACGGTCGAAGCGCACTCTCTTTCATAGGTTACTCTAAATTCATAAAAAGGGTTATGAAGCAATAAGAAATTGTTTATACAAATATCTGTAAACAATACTTCAGTTTATTTAGCCGAAGCTCGATTGAGCCTTTAAAATTTGGTAATTCAAGGCTTGAATCAAGCCTTGGCACCGAGCCTCGTTCAAGGCTCGCAGACTAAGCCTGAAACGAGGTTATCATTTTAGGGCTGAAGGAGGATTGATCCAAGCCTGAGCCCCACCCCTTATTGAGCATTTCCGAGCCTTGGTTCAGGGCTAGATGAGCCCTGTTTCTATCGTCAATTCTTACCTGGGATGTGCCTAAAAAATACTCTTGGTCTAGTCTATAAACTCTGAAGGGGATTTCCCCCAGAAAAAATTGCCTGAACTACTTGGATATCCTTAAGGGGGGATTGATAAGTGTTCTCTCACAATAAGCAAACGCGGGTGGTTATAAGGTTGAGTATATTTAACTGAATCTAGTAACTGAATCTCGAACTGAATGCAAAATGTTGCCAATACGGGGTTCGATTACGCGCGCGGATCGAAGATTTTTTTTGTAAGGAGCGTACATCCGTTCCAGTCCAACTCCGCTCGCTTTAGTCCAGAGTCATAAATCCGTAGTTCAAAATGCTTAATAAGCATTCACATTGAAGATTTTTATTTCCTTCATTTTTGAAGAAATGTCCGTACATAAATAATAAATAAAAAAAATTTCCGTATATCCGTATGTGAGCGAAATGTTACTCCACTATAGGTCTTCCAAACGAATGGTTCGACCAAAAGTGTTCTTTTGGCAATTGATACATTATCCTGCCGCTTGGAACAAGTGTCATCGTCTCATCGGTTTTTTTAATTATTCGTAACAAAGGTGTAATATGAAGAAAACAGGAAGAATACAAAAGAAAACATGAAAAACTTTTTGAAAACCCAACAATTCTTTCTAAAAAGATGATAGAGTTCAATTTAGTAGTGAAGTGGTCAATCGGTTTAAGTCGACTTGGCTCCCAGTTGAGTTTTTGTTGAATAACTTGGAATTTAAGAAAAATAGCTAAATTTTTGTAAGATCTTTATCGATAGTCTTCACTTTTCTTTATAAAAAAGATTTTTAGGAACATTTTGCCAACTCTTTTATAATTTGAGATACTCATCGAGAACTGGCGCTAGAATGGAATTGACTTAAACCGCTTGACCTCTTCACTACTGAATTTCTTCTTGTACATAAAATGCATTCCGATATAACTGGAGGCTGACTAAATTTCAATGAAAATCGTCTCAGCAGTTGTTCATTTAATTGGATAAAATTTTCAGAATTTCCTTTTTTTGTGGGGAAGTCATTGGTTCGACCAACCAATGGGTCACATCCACTCCAACAACCAAGTCGAATCTCTCTCCAAATATTTTCCCTCTAAAATTGTTCACAAAATGAAGCGAGAACATAATCTACATGTTGAAAAAATTCATTCATGAATCAAAAAAATCCATCTTCTCAATGAAATACATATTTAAAATGATGTGAAGCGACGTTTTAATCTAATTATATTTACAGAAGCGTGTCGGCGACGGGGACAAGACTCTCGGGGGAAGCCCAGGGGGCTCCGCAAGCACGAGGTATCGCGGCGGAGCCCCACCAGCCAGTCGAATCAGTCCCACAGCGACAGGGACGCCAAGAATCACCGATGATTTATAATGATCGCACGCTCCAACCGAGCATGCAAACTGAGATACCCACCAATCGACAAGCGAATCCGGATATCCAGGATATCATAACTGGTATCGTTAAATTGCTCAATGGAAATGTCAACGTTGCTGTCAATACCCTCAGGCATAAACCCGTCCAAGCGACTAGGTAAAATAAAATTAAAATTGTATTATCATTGGTCGTAAATTTCATTCTTCTCAATTTTTCATTTCCAATGCTTTCACTCTTTATTCGTTAATCCTCTGTTCATTTTTTGATCCATTTTCATATTCAAGAGGAGATAAAAATCGATGGAAAATACATCATCACGAGCTATTATTAGCTTTTATTTCCATTCCTCAATTTTTTTCTACGATTTAATCGGTTTATAGGAGTTTATTTGATTTTCTCCCATTTACATTCTTCTTTTACGATGATTTGAATAACGTTGACTCACCATTATGGCCTCTTATTTAATTTTTATATCATAATTAGTTCTTTTCAGTTACAGCTACAATTATTTTTTAATTATTTGCTTAATTTAATTCCTCATTAAAATTTATATTCTGCTGTTCTCAGGAGAGATGAAAATAAAATGCTAATTGCAGGATTGCATGCTGTTTTTTGAGACTAAAATTTTCTGCGATTTTATTGTTTACATTAAAGTTTTATATTAATGTAATGAACTAACATTCCGTCATGTTATGAAAGTTGAAATTAATCCAACAATGAAAGATCCTGCGATAATAAGTCAGACGATCTTCCTATTAGAAAAATTCCTCGCCTACAGAAAACGCTCTTGTCTATGATTTAAAGATATTCTTCTGCTTTGATAATTATTTATAATTAATCGAGCAATTAAGATGAATCGTCCAGTGATCAAACCAGTAAGAGACGCCAAATTAATATCAGTGATCGGCTGAACAAGACTCAGTCATAATTTTAATATGGGAATGTTCCACAAGCAAGGTCTTATTGAATATCTGAACATTGCACTGACAAAAACAAAGGTATTTGAGAAATACGTCTTTACTTATATCAAGAAATTTCCGGGTTGAAAATTTTCAAGAGTAAAATATCTTGCACTAAGAAAATAAAAACTTTCGTCAAGTAATTTTGTCCTTGTCCTAAAGACGAGGACAATTTCTTGATGACAAGAAAGCAATTTCTCAAACCAAGTAAAATTGAATTAATTCGTTCAATAGTTTGTCACTCTCAATTCTAAAAAATTTCAATGCAAAAACCACTTTAATTGATATGAGAACTCGTTTTCTTGATATGAAGAAATTGGCCTCATCATTCGGACAAGTATAAAATTTTTCGTGTCACGGGACCTAAAAAACGCCAATTTCGTGGGGCGCGGCGCGTTTTTCAGGTCCCTCGACACGAAAATTAATATACACACCTCGCCGTGGAAAACATATCACCTTCCCCCACGTGCTTGCCATCCTCGCCTTCGGCTAGGAAGGCAATCTTGCACGTGGGGGACGGTGATCTGTTTTCCAAGGCTCGGGCATGTAATGTATTATTTTCTTGGCGTAAGATTTTTTTTCTTAGTGTGAGATATTGTGCGCTTGGTAATTTTCAAGCCACGAATTTCTTAATACAAGTAAAGAAGTACTTCTCAAAAAACACTTGTTCTCTCAGTGTGTACTGGGTTTCAAAGTTGTAGGATTATTCTTTCTTCTCTTATATAAAAAGGAGATGTCACACTTTTATTCCTGAATGTTTTGAAAGAGAAATTGCATGCCTGCATGATGATGATACTAATTTTATTGATGATGTTGGTAATGTTGGTGTAGATCTACGGAGAGATGTTTTCAATCACGGACAATTATATCGGTAGCGAAGTGGTAAAACGATACAAGTCAATTTTGATTATTGACCAGTTTTTAATGAATATGTCGGAATCTAAGGGAGATAGCAATTTATGTTATAACCTTTTTTTGTAGAGCCGATTGAGAGCTACAACAAATGTAATTACGGAAATTTCTCTATCTCCTTTAGATTCGGAAATATTCCTCAAAAACTCAACTGGGAGATAAGTTGACTTAAACCGTTTTACCACTTCCCTATACTGATATTCAGCTTTTTCGGGAGTTCGATCATGAGATCCATAGAAAGTTTTCACAAGACAACAGCGAAAAAAATGTAAAAGTCAAAAATTATGTCTACAAAGAGTTATATCTTTGAGTAGATTCTATATATATTTATATGTCTGCATAAAAGGAACCGACTTGATCGTATTTAGTATCCGAGATATTCATGGTTTTCCATCGATAACGGCCGTATAAATTAACATTGAATTATGTTCTGATCTTCGAGACCAACATCATTTCCAACAGGAAATGTGTTCATCCTCAATTGAAGTTTTCATGGATTTCGTTGTATCTCCGACCAATCCTCGATAGAAATTTCCATCCCTTTTCATTAAAAAAAAATTCATGGATTTTCAAAAGAAGTTTTCATCATTTCCCACGAATTTCTCCTTAGTAATATACTATAGAAATTCGAATACGTGAAATAACATATTGATTCAAATCAACTTACAATAATAACGGGATGAATCATATAAAATCAATCATAGTGATAGGCGCTCGGAGCGCGCCTTCGATCTCGTAACTCAAATTTTGAAATTACAGTCTAGAATAAATTCTGAACGGAACTTATTATGGATAGAAACATTCGGGTTGAGTTTGTACTCAATCGACGATAAGTTGACTCATCATTTTTTACCTCTTGCACAAATCTATTCGTTAACATTCCCTCTTCCTTTGATTCCAGGATAAACAACCGCGGCCCACCTCGAATCTCCGACCTCCCACCCCTCCCCCCGGACTTCGACACCCCTGGGATGAACCCACCACCGCCTCCTCCTCCCGACCACCCATACCCCTTCGAAACCCCGCCACCAGAGCGTCCTTCAGTCAACCAACTCCCCCCCGCCCCGGAGCGTCACCCTACTCGCCCCCCTCACATACGCCCTTGGAACCGTCCTAACTTTCCCCCGAACCGTCGTCCCATACCCCCCTACAAGCCGTTACCCCCTCAGGAGCCGAACTTTTTCTTCGACAAAGACGATAAGACACAGAGTTCTGACAACACTCACCGTAATGATCTAACGACTCCGTCTGTCCACGAAAATCCGACTGAGCCATTTGAAGACCTGACAGAGAAACCCCAGAGGTTCCAGCCCCCCTTGAAACCAGAGAAAATCGATCCTGCGAGTACTCTAGTGCTTGGAGCAGAGCTGCAACCGATTCCCATTCCCTCGCAATCAGAAGCGAATGTCAACTCGGTCGTCCCCTTGGAGACGACGAGGAAAAAAGTCAAAGAGTCGTCCAGCTCCAGTAGCCGCTCTGGCAACCTCAGCACCACCACCTCGACAATTTCCACCCTGAAGATTGAAACCAGTTCCTCAATTCAAGTGATCGAACCAACAAGAACAACCGTAGAGATTCAGCCGTCGATAGTTCCCCTGGAAAAGAACTCTGAAGCCTCAAGCACCATTAAGTCGAGCCTGGAGCCCAGTAAGACCATTCAAGGGAGTCTTACAAGCTCTAGTAGTAATGAAGCCCATCGGGCGACTCCGACGAAAGGCCTATCAATAAATTCAATAGGCTCCACTACTTCGAGTACTGTCGAAGCTTCTCCGACTGCTTTTGATCGCCCAACAGGTGTACCCGGATATTACAAGCCCTCGATGAGTGTCAACACTCATGCATATCACCCTAGACCTGGGATAGTGCTCGATGATACGTTGGATTACACGAAGAAACAGGTTTTCACGACACAGCGACCGCATGTACCGTCAAGGCATCATCAAATCGGGGATATTTTCGATGTGACGGTGTCAGTGATCCAGGGACCTGGGGGTGGCTCTGGAGAGGGAGTGAGGGTGCCGGTTAATCCTCATGGAGGGGGAGGGGAAGATGTTATCCTGACGTCAGCGGTTGAAGGTAAGAGTTGGTGACATTCCAATAATTTTAGTACCCAATGTAAAAGGACCTGTTTTTGCGAGTTTTTTTGAGCATCAAAATATATATTTCATCGAGTAACGAACTATATTTCTAATTCCGTTGTGACGTGGAAAGTTTTCGTCCTCCTTTAACCCGCCAGTAGACGCGCTATAAGCGTTTCCCTCACAAAAATTTTCACTCCATAGAAAATATGCCCTAAAAGCGGAAATATTCTACTACATTTTTTTAAATGCCTCAAGTAACTCTTCTAGTTGAGTCTGGTGGTGATAAAAGTCGTCTATCAGTCAGGGTTCAGTAGAAAAAAAAATATTTTCTTCGGCTCGGCCGAAATTTTTCACGTGTTACGGGTACGGGATTCGTGCCGCTGAACCCCGCACAGCGCCGCCTGTGGCAATATTTGGCTTTATTCTTACGAGAAGCCGATGAGGGATTCCCCTAATCGTGCGCCTCAAGAATTCTGGTGGAACCGCGCGCCTACTGACGGGTTAATCAAGTCGTCTTTCGATTTGAAAACTAAAGCCGACAAAAGTCTCGGTATAAGCTGACAGGAAGTTTGCCCATTTGGGGATGTTTAGGGAAGAATTGATAAGAGTTTTTTCTCAATAACGAAGCACCAGTTAAAATAATTAATATAATTAACTGAGAATAATAATTGAAGATAAAATCAAACTGATAATGAGTCAGGTATCGCGCGGCGCTATAAGATTTTTGGCGAGCAGTCGACATCCATTCGATTCTACTTCGTCCGTACTCTGTCTTACCGAGGGGCATCACAGAAGCTGCAGCCCCTAAAATGTTTAGATGTCGTTACCTCACGTGCGCAAGATTCCGAGTTGAAATCCCGGTCGGGTAGAATGGTGAGATCTAACCATTTAAAGTCTTGATCATCATCGCAATATACTCAACCGAGTCGAAGCGATGTAAAATAACAATAAAAAAAATTAAATAAGCGTTTTCACGGTTTTGTACGACCAAAGCTGTGTTGGCATTACCATTGAGAATGTCCCAAAACAGTCAAACGTCTTCCTTCCGGAAGTCGGACTTCTGTAACACCCATGAGAATGCTTACCTTGCTGATGATCCTCGGTTCTAAAACATTCTCCGAGTTGAAAATATTAAAATAATATTTAATCCAACGTGTGTCAGACACCACACGTCACACCATCATCCGTAAAGTAATATTTTACGGACGACGTGATGAGAAAAATTGTTCGTCATTTATAAACGAAAGGGACTCGTGACGAAAAATAATTCCATTTTTCCAGGTCAAGGATTCGTCAGCATCGACGGAAAACGCACTCATCTGAACCTCTTCGACAACACTCCAGAAACAATATCCCCCACAAAAGCTGTCTTTCCTCCAGCCAGAACCCAGCCGCCAGTCTTCGGAACCGGCTACGCAGTGCCCCAGCCAGATCTTCCAGTCCCCGGACACGCCTACGGTACCACCGGTCGTCCCGTCTTCAGGAAGACCACCACGGATATCGTCAGAATCGACACCTGCATAGTCGGTGATTCCAGTACTTGCGATGCCAGCCAACACGAGGCCTGCGCTACTGTTCAAGGGGTATCTGCCTGTCAATGCAAGCCTGGCTTCGCCAGATTGGTCAGGACTCTGCCGTGCAAAAGAGTGATTAGCATCGTTGTCTCCATCCGAGTCGACAGGATTTACGACAAGGAAGTCGTTTGGAGTAACAACTTATTGGACAAGAACTCCGAGGCTTATCAAGAGATTGCTTATGAGTCTAATGTAGCTATCGAGTCTGCAATGTCAATGACGCCCTTCACAGATGAGTACATGGGCTCGTCCATCAATGGAATTTACCAGGGTGATGTTTCTCAAGGACAGGGAGGAGTGTTCGTTAATGCTACCGTCAAATTGACGTTTGAAACCAGAACCGCGAGACCTTCACTCGCTGGAGAACTGCAGAAACAACTTTTGGGGGTCATTCACAGACGGAATAATAATATCGGCAAGAGTGCTGTATTTGTTAAAACACCAGCTGGGTCCATCTCTAATCTCCAGGATCTTGACGAATGCGCCTCGACTGAGCTTAATGATTGCCATTCTTCGGCCGTTTGTAGCAACGTTTGGGGAGGATTTGTTTGTGCTTGCAAAGCGGGACTGAGGGACCCGCATTCGGAGGATCCAGAGAAGGCCGGAAGGGTGTGCCTGTCGTGCCCTGCTTCGCATTGCAATAACCGGGGGACGTGCTCGTACCAGGGAAATGTGGAACATTGCACGTGAGTATTGGGAATGAGGGTAATAGTACATTTCGACACTAGGCCGTGAGGAACTTTTCTGGTGAATACGAAAGTTTACACGGCCTTGTGTCGAAGAATACTTTTTATCATTCGGCCCGAAAACCGCCATTGTAACTTCGCTTCGCTCAGTTAAATCGCTGTTTTCGAATCTCGCTTCGCTCGGTTAAATCGCGGTTTATCGGGCGTAGTGACGAAAAGGAATGATGGGTTGGGAATAGGGAACTTGCATGAAGCTCAATTCTTTCTAATTCCCCTATTCACATATGGGACATTCCATGTCAACTCAGCCACCCTCAGTTTGTTTGGTCCTTAGAATCCTGAATTGACATGCTGACAGTCAAATACTACAGAAGTACATGCTTTCTCTAAATTTTCTCGCCTTTAACATCAAATGTTTGTCTACGACATGCGTCAAAAACTCAAATTTTTGAAAAAAAATATCTTGCGAACTAATTGACGGATTCTAATAAATAAAAAAAGATTTTTTTCGTTTTTTCACGTACTGTTTAAAGAAAAATACGACAGTATTGCGAGGATAAGTAATAGCCCTTTTTTCGAGTTTTTTATTTTTCAAATTCCACTGATACACAGGGGCCAGTCGAAAATCAATTGATTCTTTTCCTCTTCAATAGATAATAATAATAATACACAACTTTTCCGGGGTATTTCAAAATGTGATTTTCATATGGAAATAAGAAAAAAAAATTTTCACGAAGAATTTTTTTTTCGACATTAATGGCTACAGGTGGAGCAAAACAGATCTGGGGACAAGAAGAGACTCCGGGGCAAAATGAGACCCCTGTGGCTTCTTTCGTTTCCCAATAAGACAAATGATTTCAGTGTTCTTTGTTCATGTAACGTTGACTTACAGATTACATATGAAAAAGGAAGTTATATTAAAGAAAAGGCCTCGCGAGGGTCAAATGTCGCGCGTGTCATATCTCGTGAATCAAACGTCGCACACTGTTAAAAAATTCAGGCCGAAATTTTCGGTACACTTTTCGGAAACTTTTATCTCATTATAACTCCACCTATCTTCCAAGGAATTTTGGCATTGAAAATTCAAAACTTTATGTAAAAATCAATGAAAACTGTGAATTTCAATTCAATGCTGCCGTAGAAATTGATAGAAATCGAGAAAATTCAAGTAAATATATTCTTGAATTTCAATATATTGATAATTGAGCGTCATTTGGTACAGAATGTTCATATGATTTCATTTTACATTCTAGGAAGTCAGGGAATTCTCATCTTCCTGCTGCGTAAAGATTTGAAATTTCATTTAATTTTCAGTGAAAACTGAAGTTTCGTGATTCTGCCCCCTGACACGAATTCAATGTCTTCCTCATGAAAATTACTAGTTGAGCGTCTATGAATTGTCAATTTTTTCCAACAGTGCGAGGATCATAACTTGCAAGGGTGAAGCGATCACAAGGGTTAAACAGCAGAGGCAAGCCGGGAAATCTCCAGGTATGGTTGACTCTCGCAGTTGTTTAATCCTTAAGGTTGTCCTGCCTGCTGCTCTTGTTGGACTCTGGTCATCGTTTGACCCTCACGAGTTATGATTCTTACGAGGTCGGAGCCTCACGAGTTATGAGGTTTAACCCTTGCAAGGTAGGACCCTTGCCACATTTGATTTTCGCACTTCAACCCTTGCCCTTCTCCTGTAAACCTCAGAAATTGTTTTGCCCTTGAGAACGTTCCATCTGTTTGATTACTTAGCCCGTCCCTTGTGTTTGTCCCTTGTAAACCTCGTGAGCCAACGCATTGCTCCTTCTGTGTCGTTTATCGGATCCCGAAGGGGGCATGATCTTTGAAACCCACAATTGATCCCCTCCCCCACCCCGGGCCACTTGAACATTTTCTCATACCCAGTAGAATTCAAAGATAGAATTCATCTCATTTTTCTTGTCATATGACAAGATATTCATTAGATAATGATGAATTAAATCTGTTGAGCTTTTTAGATTCCATTTAACTTGCTGTTCTTCAGACCACCATGGATTTGTCTGTTTATAATTGCATATTCAACCTGCTTAAAATTGAATATTTTATTGATAAGTGTAGAGAATTTAATCATTTGTGTAAAACCTCAAACTTAACAGGAGTCCCAGTTTGTCACGGGGTCTGTATTGCCCCACTGTCCATTTTACCCCGCCTATAGCCGTTAATGTCGAAAAAACGAATTTTTCATAAAAAAAAATTTTTTCTCACCTCCATATGGAAATCACAAATTGAAATACCCCGAAAGAGGAGTCTTATTATTATCCATTGAAGAAAAAAAGAATCAATTAATTTTCGATTGGCCCCTGTTTAACAGTGGAATTTGAAAAATGAAAAACTCGAAAAAAGGGCTATTGTCCTTGTCGTATCCATGTTCCTCATATCATATGGATAGTTAAATGGCAAAAATTGTGGAGAAATATTACCTAGATGTCTTATGATAGGGGAGAGTGGAGCAAAATGAAACCGCCAAAAAATGACTATTTGACGAAATTCAAGCGAAAAAATTTTTTTTATTAGCTTTTGTTTATCAACTTTTTTTTATTATTGGGAGTACTAATGAGAATATTAATTTTCTGTTCGTCTTATAATTCAATTGATTAGATCAGGTCGATCACACTTCTTTTTTCATTCGATTGAAATTCAGCATCACATTTTCTTTTTTCCCCCTCTGGGGTCTCCCCCTGGGTCTTACTCTGAACTTTAGATTTTACTGTTTCATTTTCATTTCAATTAATCCATTGACAAAATCTTCTCCCGTCAAAACTTCCGAATCTCCCGAATGAAAATTATTATTCTCATCAGTACTTCCACGAACAGAAAAAAGTTAATTAACAAAAGTTGATACGAAAAAATATTTAATAAAAAAAAAAATTCTGCTTGAATTGCGTCAAACAGTCGTTTTTCGACTGTTTCATTTTGCCCCACTCTCCCCTACTCATTTCACAATTGTCTCGTAAATGGGCAGTTCTTCGTAATCAAGGAAATGAGCTTCTTCGTAATGAAGGAAATTGTCTGCAAAAAACGTATCTTAACGACTGTCTTAGATCTTTGAGATGATTTAGTACTCACGAATATCAGTCACAGATAATCATCAAAAGTTTCCAAATCTATTTATCCGCTCTGTTTCCATTCAAAATCTAGAATGAGAATATTTCTCCTAATTAAGGATATTTATCCAAAATCGCAAGTACTTAAAAAAATTGATTTTTTAAACTGAGGCGAAGATATTCCCTTCACTTTGAGACAAATTTCAATCCACCAACCCATGTTCATTATTTCGACATGAAATAGACAAAATGCACCAAATGCATGCGCCAACATGCGCATATATGAGATAGAGTCATTCAAATATTTCCTCTTTTTGCCCGGGTACCCCAGATTTTTCTCTGGCCATTGGATTCAGTATGATTTTATACATTACCTTCTCTTTTTATTTCTATTTTTACTCTTTTAGTAGGTGAATTATCAATTTGAACGTAAATTTCATAAGAGCCCGTGTATAAGGAAAAACGAGTTTATTCATTTCTGCCGAGACTATTGCGATTAATTTTTTTAACGCTAGAAAAATTAGTTTTATATGGTCTGCTGTCAGCCGAAAAAATTACAGAATTTTTTTTGACCATGAAAAAAAAAACACATTTACCGACAATTTACCGACTCTGGCTAAACATCTTCAATTTGTATTATCTTAATTTTTTGTATTTTGCAGATGTGCTGGAAATTATTATGGAGTAAAATGTGAAATTGATGGAGAAGTTGTTGCCGTAGCAATTGGCGCATCCGTTGCAGCTCTGATAATAATAATTCTTACCCTCGTGTGCCTCGTTATGTGGAGGTGAGACTCCTACTCTAATTTCACCTCGAATCACAGCCACTTCATTTCCTCTTCGATAATGATTCACTCTTCTTTTCATTGCTCTCGTTTCATTATTATATACATTATTATTTTTATTTATTCTTTTGTAGTCGAAGATGGTCGAGGGAACAGAAGGCAATGGGCTCTCCGGTTTATGGATATATGCAAGGAGGTATGCCAGGAACTATGCCAAATACATTAGCTCGTGTTGGTTCGATGGGTACTTTAGCTTCAGTTAAACAAGGACCACCCTCAAATATGCCTCCTTACATGTGGGGACATTTGGCTGATCATATGGCAACAGCAAATTTATACGCAGTATGTAAAAAACCATTCAAATTCTTTATTTTATCGAGATTCAATATGAAAGCTGAATAACTAATAATAATGTAGTCATTTGAAATAAAAACAGTAATCAAGAGTATTATGGCGGCGTAACTTTGCCTCAAAAATTGAAATTCGCTTAAATCACAAGTTCTTGTTTGCCAATATTTACACAATCCCTCCTATCACATCAAAAGTTTTAATTTGTTAATGATAATTGTTCATTAATAAATTTAAAAAACCAAAAATTCCACACAATATTTTTTTTCATTTATAGCATATTCTGACCACATTGAAAAATAGGAGTTTACGTTTCTTAACTTTTTTGCGGAAAACTAGCATCGCCCCATAAGCGTCTATGTTAAATTCCAAACATTACTATTGGATAATCTTGTAAACGGTTTTCTAGTCATTCGAAATATTGTGGATGAGTAAGAGATTTCAAAACCTCAAGGCTGAATTATCTTCAGAATTTTCTTTGCATTTTTGACACTCTGTGGCAATATCGTTAGAATATCCAAGTACTTTGGCTATTTTTACTCCAGTGAAATGCCGTTCTACTTTTGCAGTCAAAAATCAGAGCTTTCATTTGAGCCCCATTTTACCTCAAGTTTCCGGCCATTTTACAGTGAGTCTTTGCAGGTCTGAATTTGAATTTCGATATTGAATCGTTAGAAAACATTTGAAAAATCTGAAAAAAATTAGAAAGTCGACTTTTGGGGAAAGATTGATGAAATAATTAAAAATTTGCAATTTTTGAAAATTACGAGCATTTTCGACAAATAATTTATAAATAATCAATTTTTCACTGTGAAAATCATTTGTTAAACAATTTCAATTATTTCAATTATCTGCAAAATGTACTGTAATTTGAATGACGCTGAATATTCATGATTTTTTTTTTCAATTTTTTCTCACGCAATTTGAGTGGCAAATTTGATGTCTGAAAATGGTTGATTCTATAGAGTACCAAACTGTAAAAGATATTTGGATATCCTTAAGAAAACACTGTCAAGATGTTTTCTTGGAAGTGTATAAAATTTTCCATAAAAAGTTCTTTTGAGATTTTTTTGTAAAGCCGTGAGTTTTTGAGATGAATACATAATGAAAGAACAATTAATTAAACCGTTTAGATCAACAAAACTAATCTCGATTGTAAATTATTGAATAATGTTATCAATGAGTAATTTAAAAAAATGTAGAGAGAAATTTTCAGTAGTTGAGAAAATGTCCACCAAAAAAACTCATTCACATTCTCTTCTAAGGCCACTCACTACCAAATTCATTCCACAACTAGGGGACTATGCCCTTTGCTCGCTCCGCTCGCCAACCCCCATATGACTCCCATAATTCTTATTCTGACTCTTGTGACCTTTAATTTGACCCTCGTAACCCTCATTATATCCCTTGTGACCCTTAATCTGACTCATATGACCCTTGTGGTCCTTAATGTGACTCTCACAAACCTTAATCTGACCCCTCTGACCCTTAATCTGACCCTCACAACCTTTAATCTGACCCTCACAACCTTTAATCTGACCCTTATGACCTGTATTCTGACCCTTGTAACCTTTATTTTGGCTCATGACCCTTATTTTGATCCTTGTGACCCTTAATTGTGAAATTTTAATTATGAGTATCAAATTTTCATCACCAGAAGTTGATTTGGATTTTCATAATATAGATCGATACAACGATGATCCTAATTTTGTAAATTTCTAATTTATAATTATTCTCAGGGTGAACCAATGGGACCTACAAGACCAAGTTCAGCAGTCTTCGGTTACCCCACAATGAGCGTACACGGTACCCTCCCCCCAGTGCCTCTTCCGAGACTCCAGGCGCCTCCTAGAACTCGGCAGAGGCACCTTCCAGAGCCAGACAGTTCGGATTCGGAGCCCCAGGACAAAGACAGGGCTGACCTCATCCCTCAGAGCAGTGGCTTCCACGTCCCCAGACCAAAGTCGAGGTCCTCTCTAGCGGTAAGACAATACCCATCATTAATTTTCGATTGAATTGGTAAAACGCAATTGATAAAATGAAAAGTCGTAAAATGACACAAATCAACTCAACTTCCGGCTGCCCTTTCGATGATTATCTTCGTAGTCAAGAGAAATTCGCAGCGAATTTTCATGAAGAATTGTACGTAAATTTCATTGGACTGTAAAAAAGGGTATTCCGAGAGACCAACTATCTTTTATAGATTCCAAGATGGTTTCTGGACATATATCTTCTACACGGAGAGAAAAATACGTGACAATGCCATACGAACCGAAAAATTTCGTCGACCGAAAAATGCAAATGGGGCACTCTAATTTTTGAAGATCTTACTTTTCTGTGAGATTCCCGTAAGGGGAGACCGCGGTGAAATTGGAAAGTCTCGGCTCGGCCTTAAGAGCCATTTTGAGACGACTTTTGATATATGAAGGGATATATAAAAAAGTGAGAAAAATTTCGGACCCGAACCGTTTTGCCCCGTATATCCAACAAAAACGTAGTTTTTCACGTTTTTACCTTAGAAATGCCCCTTGTACCACAGTTTTCATCCGATTTCAACTTTTTTTTTGAAATGTTCGCTATACTCCAACGAACAAACCCAAGTATCTGTTTTACTTTATATTTATCAGATCATGAGAAAATGATTTTTTTAGTTTCTATTTTTTTTCCTCTTTTTAGCAAATGCTAAAATTCGTTGTTTTTCGTTATTCCACGTTGTAATCATACGTAATCGAAATATTATAACAAAAAAATTGGGCGGAAAACAACGAATTTTAGCATTTGCTAAAAAGAGGAAAAAAAATTAAAACTAAAAAAAAACATTTTCTCATGATCTAATATTATTTTATTTTTCTATTTCATTGGTTTTATCGAAGGAATTCTCGATTTGAAACCCCTCCTCTAGCCTGCCTCCCCTCCTTTCTTTTCCTCTCATTGTTATCTGCGGTATCATGGCCGTCTTACTCTTAGCTGTGCCCCATTCGAGCTAGGATTGCACGGGAAACCATGTAAAATCCCAGTCGCACAGCCGGCCGATTGTGCAGTGCCCTAATATATCCATGTCACACTGACTAGATGGAGAACACTAGGCCGCTACACCGTACCTACCGCCCGCAATTTTTGTGCGAGCGAGGTGTTCCTAAGCGGTCACCCATCCAAGTACTAACCCAACTCAGCGCTGCTTAGCTTGGATGTCCGCCGGAGCAACACCTCACCCACCTAACCATTACAGTCGGTTCTCATGATCTAATAAATATAAAGCAAAACGGATACTTGGATTTGTTCGTTGGAGTATAGCGAACATTTCAAAAAAAAAGTTGAAATCGGATGAAAACTGTCGTCCAAGGAGCATTTTTAAGCTAAAAACCTGAAAAATGACGTTTTTGGTGAATGTACGGGGCAAAACGGTTCGAGTCCGAAATTTTTCTCACTTTTTTATATATCCCTTCATATATCAAAAGTCATCCAATGGCTCTTAAGGCCGAGTCGAGACTTTCAAATTTCACCGCGGTCTCCCCTTAAAAGTTCGAATGCCGCGTCCGAATTTTTTGGTGACTTATGATTTGGTTCCATGGGTTAGTGAATAGCACACTAATTTTTGCTAGAATTTTCTCTCCGTATAGTGAATATGATTCATCTTGCTTTTTATGACTCGTAAAACATTGACCGAAATTCGAAAGGATGAAAAGGGAGAAATTTTAATTGGAATACTATTTTTCCGGGCTGTTGCGATGGAGTTTTTTACTCGTGTGGAGCTGGTGCCTAAGGTCAGGTCTGGCCAATCACACCCGATGCATAATCGGACGGTCCCGGGTTCAAATCCCGGTCTGGACTCTCGATTTTTCAGTAGATTTTTTTGTAAACTAATATCGAAAAGGATCCTGGTTCCCCTCCTACCTACTCCAAAATCCTATCCAACAATATCCTGTGACGTCATAAGATGTTGAACGCTATGTAAAGTCCCGTCTTTAGCTTTTGGAATTTTCTTACTCGTGTGGTGTTGGAGCCGAAGGTGAAGACCGGCGAACCACATGTGAGTAAAAAAACCCTATCGCAACAGCCCGAGACAAAATTGTTTTGCAGTGATTTTCGAGCTTCCGAGTTTGCAAAGTATGTAATACCAATTCCCAGACGAGGAATCGTGAGAAACACACTGAGAGAAAAACGAACAAGTTCTCGAACAAGTCTTTTTTGGGCCAACAAAATTATTAGGTGAAAATTACTAAAAAATAATTGTTCGGTTCTAATTCGAAAGTCTCAAACATGAATAATTGCTCTGCTTTCAACAATAAAGAAATATTTGGCTCAAGAGGCGGATCATTCGTCCAAGACCTTTTATAGAGGGGAGTTTATCAAGAAATATTTTGTCCTTAAGTTTGCTGTCATATAATAATTATTATAATTATATCACCTAAGATTGCTGTCATATAATTAATATTATGTCATTTAAGAATTAGTTTTTGTCAGTGATTATTGAATTGTCGAAGCGACAAACTATCTCTCGTTTCATATAAAACGAGTATTTGCCGGGAGCAAAAAACATATGGGAGAAGCGAATAATAAAGAAGTAGTGCTAGAAATTACATTTTTTGCTTGCACAGAAATACAATTTTTTTGAAAAGACCAAATGTTTTTAAATAAAAATTTTCAGTCTCGGCGCACGCTCCGCACGTTTGGCACAAAAAAATCGTTTTGATAGCTTTGAATAAACGATTTTGTTCGCACAAGTAAGGCTTGTTTGAGAATTCTTCTTATTCCTTTTTGGTTATATCCCTCTCAAGGGGAGGAAAGTACCAAAGTTTGAGAACTCTGCTGTTTTCTTCCTCAGTGCAGTACAAAAATATCCTCTCTGACTTTCTCTAATTCCTCTCTGGATTCAGGCGATAGGTAACGAGTTATTAATCAAACAAGTTGACCAATGATACCGTTGAGATGATATTAGTCACAGTTTATGATTTCTACATTGAAAAACGAGTGGTGGCGAGGGAGGAGATCAGTTCCGATGCATTGAACCAATTAAAATCAACTCAAAGGGTACTGATATCCGTTTCGGAGGAACCCGCCCCCTTCCCCTTCACGCTCGACATCGGCGCACTGGCGGCATTATTTTTTTTTTCACTTAATCAATTAGTAACTCGTTAAAGTAGTATATCCACGCTCCACGTAAGCCGTTGAGTGTAGCGAAGCAAAATAAATTTAAAACGCCTGAAAAGAAAGTTATTCATTATTCATAATCACTTACATGCGGTCTAACACTGACGGGAGTAAACATGAATTCATCAAATTCTCTCTATAATTATTTTCTTAAAGAATAGTTGTTTTGGTGTACCCACAAACATAAATTATTTATCTCAAAACTTTGGCAACTGACGATAATTTTCGTATTACATTTATAAATTTTTTATTACCTTTTTTTCTAATTTTTTCAGATTTTTCTGCATTTTAATCTTCTCTCTAATCTCGAAAACTTCTTTTTTTCTATAAGGCGCTGTGTTATTTTGCCACTTTTGAATTAATTATTCTCAATAATAAACTGCCAATTGCACGAAGTCAACCAGAATGCTTTTATTCATATCAACTTCCGTTTAGAATTTATTTTAGATTTTCATCTGCAAAATTTCCGTTATGTTTGTACTACTTTAACTATTGCCCGGAGGCAAAAGTTGAACAACTTTTGACTTAGAATTGAAGAAAGTTTCTTCGGACATCCGGAAATCGAAGAAAGTTTCTCCGAACATTTCCCTTAAGGGGAAACGGAATCCCTGCGCCAATTGAACTTTTAGAATTGTGTTTTCTCCTGCAATTATTATTTGTTATTTATCAGACTACTTCATTGAGTCAACAATGGAATGATCGAGTCAATAAAGTAGTTTCATAGATAAAAATTTATAATTGTGGGAGAAAACACAATTCTAAGAATTCATATAGACAAAGGGGTTCCGTTTCCCCTTAAGGCCCAGCTCCATTATCTGCCGAACGTCATCTAGATCACTTGTTTTTGTTCGATTTTTAACTCGTAATTTCAACTCGATGGCCCGTCACTCAGAGATCTCCGAAAATTATGAATTTGGATTGAAAAAAAAAATTTTTTTAAGTCTGAACTTTTGAACGAGCGCTTTTAATTAATATTGAGAAATGAGTTCAATAGAGAAGATATGAATAATGTATAATTACCGTAGCAAATGACGGCCTGTCAGTCACCACCATAGGGGGAGGCTTAAAGACAAAATAATAAATCCTTTGGCACAGCGCAACCAGATAATTTTACGAAAAAAGGCTCTTTAAAAATTTTGTAATATTTTTAAGAATTTTTTGATCACACTTTTACGATGAACTACTAGTCACTTACACCAATCTCCTCAATATGAAGCTGAAACTAGAGAAAGATTCAACAGCAGAAGATTTATCTTTGGCGAATGTGGGGGTGTACAAATGTTTTTAAGTAATGTACAAATCTTTCGCACTTGAAAAACATTTGTACATATGATTATTTGACTCTCCTACACATAAAAATCCTCTAAATTGAATTGTCCGCTGACGGATATTCTGCTCATTTCAGATTCATCTCCTCAATTAAAATTGTACTGAAGAAAAAGCGATTTTCCTGTTTTCAATTCCCGGCAAAAGTGACAGGTGATCACCAGTATTAAAATAATTCCTCAATATTAATTAAAAACGCTCTTTCAAAATATTAAAATTTGTGTTCTAGTTTTTTCAAAATTTAAATTCAGAATTTTCGGGGGTCCCGGAGTGACGGGGTATCGAGTTGAAAATTCGAGATAAAAATCGAACAAAAAAATCAATTTAGATAACGTTTGGCATATAATGGAGCCGGGCCTTGAATCTTCAATTTTTCACAGATAATTATCTAATTCAATTAAGAGTGGATTTCTTATTTTCTCCTCCAATTCCATTAATTAGATCATTATTTACTGAGCTATTTCAGAGAAAAATGTTTAAGAAACTCTTTGATGCCTAACGAAATTTCCCACAAAGGAGGTCTCTTGACATATCTCTATAAAGCCACACATTTCCGACATAACTACGTAATTAGAATCTAATTAAACAGTTTAAGTCGACGTAACTCATCTCAGTGGTTAATCTCTGAATTATTTCAGTAATGAGTGCGAGAACTGCTGAGAGGCTTTTTTGTATAAAACTTTGTTCTCCACAAAAAAGGTTCCTCGGTATTTTGCCTCAAAATTTCTCATTCTCGAAATAAGTCGACTTATCACGTTGTAGCACTTGAATCAGCTATTTAGGTTTCTCTGGGTGTAATTGATGATACAATTGGATTTGTTCTTCTTCCAACAGAATCAGAGCGGAATTTATTACGACGTTGAATACGACCAGGGCGACGCTCACCATCTTTCTAAAAATAATATACCCATGTCCACTTACAGCATGGCAAGACCGTATTATAGGACGTGAGACGAAAGACGTGAATCATAGTCGGTACCAGGTATCACACAGTTCAATCTGGAAGAATTGGTTTTAGTACGAGGATTGAAATTTATGTTGTTTTACCACTATAATTGGAAAAGCCTCAAATCAATCTTCTGCATAGATAATAGCGAAATATTTTAAAATAATGAGAATCAATTATATTTTTACTATTTCAATAGAATAAATTCAGCAGCCAAGTGATAGGGGAAACGAATTCTGAATTCATTTCCGAATTATTTCACAAATATTTTCTAAAGGCCGAATTTCCAAAGAAAATGTTGGAAATCTTTCTCGTGGAGAATTTTATGACCTGCAAAAAATATCTTTCGATATTTCTTCTGAACCCCTTACTTCTCTAGACAGTCAAAAAATAATCAATTCAAAATATTTAAATTTAATTTTTCATGAAAAAATTTTATAAGTTCAATTGTCGAACGAAAAACAAATACTTCTTGTTCTGTGTCATTGGTACACACTTTACCTAGCTCAATAATAATATTAAAAATAAAGAAAAGACTATGTATTATGATTGATATTATATATATCATTTAAATTACACAAATTATAGAAATTAAGAACGAATGAATGTGATTAAGTTTTAAATAACCAACAGATTTTATGAATCATTGTTCATAATTAATCGATTCATCAACTAATTCGTTGATTCATTGAATGACAATGATTAATTTGTAATTACGATAAAAATCATAAAAATATCTATAAGAAAATGTTTTTTTTTTTACCTCGGTTAGTGTTTAGTTGTGTTGAAATTAATGTAAAAAGTGAAGGAAAAATCGAACAAAATTACGATAATTAATTTACATATTTGATGGTTCGTTTGTTTTCTTTTCAATAATTATTACATAATTTTTCACCGTAAGTTGAAGACAATAAACATCTGAAGAATCAACGCAATTGTTTACACATCTGTTCCACATTGTACCAGTTAATTTAGTTGATCAATTTATTTCATAATTTTCTTATTCATTTAAACTGGCACTAGCTTTTGCAGAGAGCAATAGGGATTTTTAATGAAAAAGATTACATCGTCGAAAATCGACAAATATAAAATTTATCCACTAATGCTATTCTTGTTATCAGTTTTATCATTCAATTCTTGTCTTCTAGTATCTGAAAACTACGACAGGATTCAGATTAATCAGAAATTGGAGATTTATTAATTGTAGTGAATTCTCTTTATACCTTCAATACTTTAGACAGGTGAGCATGCTTAAGTATAAGAAAAATTTCCATGCCTGCTTTGTTATTTCATGGTCAAAAGTTGGAAGATTTCGATGCAGAACAACGAATTTACGTTTATAAATTTATTCAAGCGAGGGGAATTCAATTGTTATTGTATCCAAGAGGTAAAATTATTCAGTTTAGACCCAAAACTTTTGGTAATAACGTTGTTATCAAGAAGAATCAATGAAATTGACTTAAAATATTAAAAGACTTTTTTGTAGATGAGAAAAATCCCTTTTTAAAAAAGTCTTAACAAATTTCTTGTTATGGACAGATTAAGAGTCGAAATGAGATTTCAACTCGAATTATTCGACGTTCCAAGATCATTAATTCTTAGGGATATTTCCATAATTACACTAACAACTTTAATAGTTTTACCACATTTAAAATTTTTTATTTTTATCAACTCAATAATTTCATCAGGACGTTTTCTCCATAGCCCGACTGAAAAATAATATACACTGTGCACCTCTCATATAAAGGTAATCTAATCAATATATTTTTATATAAAAGTTACACGGGTAATTTCAAAAACGTTATCTATGAAGAGGTCTTAAGTAGTAGTAAATATTGAAAAGTGGGAGAAGCTTGAATTGGTTCTGTTCTGTCAGAGAAAATGATGTGATGAAATTTTTTTATGCTCGCTCATTGATGAAGAATCTTCATAAAAATCGATCTCTAACTTTCCTGTCTCTCCACTTTAAAATCGATTTTTACCCGTTAATTAGAAACAAATAGATGTAATTTCGTTGTCAGGGACTCCGAGATAATTATAGAAACATTCGTTGGCTGATAATTAATTATTTCGATGTTGAATTTGGTCGTTTTACCATCAGCAAGGTCATTGGTTAAATAATCCAGTAGTGAAGTGATAAAGCTGTTCAGCTCAACCGTGAATTTTGTGTTCATTATGCTCTATCTCGATAACGAGTGGGTGTATCAAAGAATGTCAGTATAACTTTTCTATAGGTGAGAAAAACTTCTACAAAGAAAAATATTGTGACATTTCCTTTTAACCGGCACGTACGGGTTGATACGATGTATCGACCCATGCGAGTGTAACCGTTTGCTTTCCAAATTGATTATTTCCAAATGTATGAAGAATAACTTGACCAGACAAACAAAATTGGAAACCGCAATACAGCAGCTTCGATTTGATATCAGTTTCATAATTTTCCATGCATCAGAAATAAGCGAATTCAAGTCGTATTGAACACTACGCACACTAAGCTTGGTTAAAACCACTCCTTACCGAAATAATTCACCAATTAACAACTAAAATCACTCAATCCAGACAGGTTCACCAATTCTCCCCAGAGTTTTAATTAATTAATCATCAATGATCGAGCGAATGACTGAATAAATGGATGAGAGACCCGGCGTATAAATACCCCGCGAGATGTCCCTCAATGTACCGATAAAAATACAAATAGATGAGAAAAAAAAATGATTAAGAACTATTTTAAAAGTAGAAAGTGTAAAGTATCACAAGAATTACAATAATTGTAATATAATCACATTATCTCTGCGAAGAGTTTCAAAATTGTTTCATTTATTAATCATCATTGATTAATAATGATTCATCCAATCAATTATCAAGCATTTTACCAATTAATTAATTTATCATTATTTTACGTATTTTAAATATTTTTCAAATCGCACAATCAACAGTAAGCGCATAAATATCAATGCGAGTTATATTTCCAGATAAAATCTTGGTATTGTAAATTGTTTTTTTTCCTCCGTGAATAACATCAGTCTTTGATATACGACAATTGTTTAAAAAAATTATGTATAAAACAAAGATGAAAAAGAGAAGGAAATGCTGACAAAGGGATTTTCTTTTTTAAAAAGATTTCTATAATCAGTGGATAGGGAGTGTTTTATACCAAGGCAAGAACACTTATCGAAGGCGATTCTACTCAAGTCTCATCATTATTTTCTTATTGATTGGTGGGTTATACTCCTTGATTGAAGAGAAGTTGAAGTTTATAGAAAAATTATTTCATTTTTTTTGTTGGATTCTTGAAATATCTGAGGATTTTTGTAAAGATATGAAATTCAAGCGTTTATCAAGAGGGGTTGAATAATTAGTAAGAGAGTAGATCAATTATTTAATAGTAATATTAAATTCTTCTTACGTCCAGAAAATGATTTATTTGAATTGAATACATTAAATGGATTTTTGCTTTTAAAATGGACTTTTCCTTTTATGATTCGAGGATTAAAATCACATGTGATATCAATTATTTTCAATTGTGCATTCATCGTGAAAAACAGTTGTGATTTGAGGAAAACGCAAAAAAAAATTCGAAGCTGAGAAAACGTTCTATCGAAAATCTCTTCTGGTAATTCCTCCTGAAACCACTCATTAACGAGATAATGTCATAATTACACAGTCCATTGAAACCACTCTATCCCTTCTTGATCACGAAGTATTCTCAATTAAAGAAGAAGAAAGCAAATTCTTATTCAATCGGAATGATTCAATTTCTCTAACTTGACTAAACTTTTGTTTTAACATTGACTGAAATAGCACAGAAATGATATTCTGTTTCATTTCTCTAAATGAAAGCCGAAAGTATTTTTTCCTATTCGCATAAATCATTTTTCAGACGTATTAATGTGCCCGACGCAAGACCAATCACTGTACGACCCCTTCAAACCCCTCGACTACTCAAAACTCGAGGAAGCCTTAGGCCGTACACAAAGTCGCTCAATTCTCCCTTGCGATCAACATTCCCAAGCGAATCATCTTATAAGAATAGGATCTCGGTACTTGCAACGCTCTTATGATCTAGTTTGGCGTCGCCTGAGGCTGTGGAGAAGGTGACGATGTTGGATTGACATTTGGTCTGTAAAATCTGTTGACTAGCTGTTTGAGACTCAACACACTCCCCAGTCCTTTGCCCGGCTCCATGTTAATGAACATATCCAGATTATCCTTGCATGCTAGGCAAGAAAAAAATTAAGACATGAAGTTGGATTCTTTTCTCCAGGAGATTTTATGAATTTATCTTAATCTACGAAAGAGGTATTAATTTTTGTGAGAAGCTTTCCTGTTGAGAAGCGGAAGACCTACAGAAATATTGTTATTGCATTATTCTTGAAGTGAACTTGCACAGGGAAAATTTTTTTTTATTTTCAGGGATCTATCCTTGATTTTTAGGGAGCGACGGAATACAAAAATTTAAGCGGAGACTACTATGAGCTTTAAAAGTCGCGGGCTATTGGAGTGAGATTTATCGTACATTGAAGATCGATTATATATGTCTGAAAACGAATAATTAGTGCAAAAAAATTAATTGTTTATTGTTCGTTTGCTCCATAGACGCTTAAAATGTTTATAATAATTCAGGGTCTCCAATTTCTTTTTCAAAATTTTTGAAAAAATGTGTACAACAAGAATTACGAGCAAGTTTTTTGAAATTCGACTCCTACACAGTTAACTTCTTTTTTTTTTAATATAAGAAATTACACCGTACATGTAAAATAGCTAGAAAAATGTTTCTGAAAGAATCGAGAGGTTAGTCAAAATGTTTTGAGGATAAGGCGAATAAAAAATTGGTATTCTTATCAGTAGGGGCGGGTAAACGGACCACTGATATAAAATTAATAATTTTTACTTTTGCTTCCATTCGGAAAAATTCAAAGTCATTTGTTTAAGGTGACTAGCAAATCTGATCAAACTGCGGTTCAACGACACTTGTCTATAAAACCCCTGTGACGGTTACGAGCCACGAAACTCACTTTTAATTCAACACATTCAGTGTTCCTGATCTGAAAGAAAGAAAAAAAAACAAAAATTACCAATTTTTTGACGGTGGTCCGTTTTACCATCCCGATCCGTTTTGCACTACCTTCCCCTACTCCCAATAATAAAAAAATTTAATAAACAAGTTAGTAAAAAAAATTATTTTTTTGCTTCAATTGCGTCAAATAGTTGTTCTTCAGCTGTTTCATTTTGCCCCATTCCACTCTAGGAAAATTAGCTGGCAAAAATGTCCTTATCAAATAACCGTGGCATCTAGATTCCGAAAAAATTTATTTTTTTGCTTCAATTGCGTCAAATAGTTGTTCTTCAGCTGTTTCATTTTGCCCCATTCCACTCTAGGAAAATTAGCTGGCAAAAATGTCCTTATCAAATAACCGTGGCATCTAGATTCCGAAAAAATTTATTTTTTTGCTTCAATTGCGTCAAATAGTTGTTCTTCAGCTGTTTCATTTTGCCCCATTCCACTCTAGGAAAATTAGCTGGCAAAAATGTCCTTATCAAATAACCGTGGCATCTAGATTCCGAAAAAATTTATTTTTTTGCTTCAATTGCGTCAAATAGTTGTTCTTCAGCTGTTTCATTTTGCCCCATTCCACTCTAGGAAAATTAGCTGGCAAAAATGTCCTTATCAAATAACCGTGGCATCTAGATTCCGAAAAAATTTATTTTTTTGCTTCAATTGCGTCAAATAGTTGTTCTTCAGCTGTTTCATTTTGCCCCATTCCACTCTAGGAAAATTAGCTGGCAAAAATGTCCTTATCAAATAACCGTGGCATCTAGATTCCGAAAGATTTCTCAAGAACTAATCCTCAAGTTGATGTATCTCATTTCACTCCAATACAGAGTTAATACGAAAGCTCCCCGAGCTGTAAATAATTAATAATGGATTGTGGGTCAAGGTCTTACTTGGTGTAGATATCGGCGGATAATCAGGTGGTGTTTTGATCCAAGTTCCGTCCTCTCGCTTCATGTGTGCTCGATTGGATGCGAAGTGTTGCAAATACGTTGCTGCTGGCACAAGTCGGAATCTCCTGTGAAATTCCGGACGAAGTGCCTCGTCGGATCTGAATGTTTCAGTGGCATATTTCCAGAAAAATGTTGGGAAGGGAAGGGCACTCTCAAGATCGTAAACCACAGCACGTTCGTCGGGTGCATAGATTAAAATTGCATGATAATCCTGTAGAAGAGAAAAAAAAATAACTCCAAGTTTCTTATTCTGATTTATCTTCAGAACCTGAAAAGCTAGAGGAATACTTTTGTTAGGAAGAAAGAAGAATTTCCGGTTGAAAACTCTGTTTGACGATCTATTCACTTCTATGCGTTTCTAAAATATCTTTAAAACTGATTTTACGGTGAGAACTTTCTCTTTGTTTGTTGTTCAAGTGGAGTTTCCTACCAGGGCTTTCCGATCACTGATCTCTCACTTCTCGATCTCTTTAATTTCGAACACAATTAGACGGCTTTTCATGTTATAAATTTATTAATGCCCTATTAGTGCTTTCGAATGGAAGCATTGTAAGCGCTCAAATGTAAGTTTTGGATTTTTGTGTTATATCGACACATTTTAATCCAAAAAGTCCGAAAATGTAATTTTCTGTGTGTGGTAAAGTTTTTCTTCAATTGTTCGCTACTGAACGGGTGGAATTGAATGTTTTTTTTTCAAACGTAGGTATTGTTGAGTCCCATCGATCGCTATTAATTCAAATAATAATACCTCATTGATTAGTTTTTTAAATTTGTTAATTTTTTCGAAAATCGGTTGTCCCGCGATAACTAAAAAAAATGTTCTGAATTGATTGAATGATGACTTAAAACATTTGTGTGTCCCTTTGACCGAGATCGAAGACGAATAATCATTATTTTGATTTATTCGAAAATTTTCCAAAATTTTGTATTTTTTGAAAATCAGAATTCCGGGGATATCTTTGAATAGCATGCTTCAAATGAATTCAATTATAGCTTAAAATGTTTGTTTTAATGCCATTGAATCGAAGTTGAAAGATGATTACGATAGCTATATTGATTGATTTTACTTTTATGATGATTGTTTAAAATTTTGAATTTTCCATAAACCGCAAAGTGAGCTTTCTGATGGTTTCTTCATATCTGATCGATCGATCGAGATCATCGACCAAGATCGATAATAGGTCTTTTCATCAACTTCCCGACCCAAAAGGAGGACGTTGTTGCATTGACCCCGAAAATGGAATGTTGAATTTCGATGATTTGGCCACGATTAATGTCTCCTAGAGTCATTTTGAAACTTGTTTGAGGACATGTTCATGTGTATGTGTATGTGTCTGTGTCTGATTTTACAATAAACATTATGAAATTCAATTTTTTAATAAAAAACTTACATATGGAAACGAAAATTACCCTCAATCTAATATTCAAGGATAAATTTCAAGGTAATTTAATACATTTTCACCTGAGCATAAAATATCTCCACAGATTTAAACAGAAATCGAGCAAATTTCGTCATTAAGAGGAAACCCATGAAAATTTTCAACACGTGATATTCTAAAATCGCTACATTATCGCGCAGCAATTCATCTGGTGAATGAAATAAATGATAGGGAGTCTCAATTTGACCATCTCGATGAGACCTTCAAATTGACATGCGATTTATCCCCGCAGGTCATATCTATAGCCTCGATAAATGGCAAAAGCTGTAATATTTGACATGTGACATAACGTAAAAAGTGGAAACAATCTGCTATAACTAAATGGACAAAATCGGATTCCTGAGGAAAAATTACGACGAAAATAGAATTCCGAAATTCTTTCTCGAAAAATAATAAGTTTTAATAAGAATACGTTTTTTAACATGGATACGTCTATGGTTTCAATATGGAGGGTCATTTTGGGAAACGGTCCTTATGTGCATCGCCATCTATCAAAATTCTAAAAAAATCTAGACATTTCGAGGTAATTTGAGAAGTTTCTTGAAATGTCGAAAAAATTCAAGGAGTTTCTAGGAATTTCGAGGAAATTCAGGGAGGTTCTAGAAAATTCGAGAGAATTCAAAAAGTTTCCAGAAAATTCGAGGGAATGCAAGGAGTTTCTAGGAAATTCGAGAAAGAAGGAAAGACCCTGAACGTATCCACGTACAATTACAGCTGTATCGAAGATACAGCCACCTGCAATTTTTTTTCTCGGAGTAAACTTCCCCTTAATCAATTCACTGTTCACGTTCTGACACAGGGTATGAAGTATTGCGCTGAGTCGCATACAGGGAGATGCACCATAACAAAATTCAGAGCTTTCTGGAGATTTATCGAACTTTGTGGAAATTTATAGAATTTTATTGAAATTAATGGAATATTGAACAAGAAAAGCATTGCATTGCCAGCTGCAGTATGCAACGTAGAAACTTCTAGAACTTGCTGAAGGTTTCTCGATTCGTTGGGAGAATTCCAGAAAATTCACGACTGCTCTGGAAAGTTTACGGAATATACCCTTAATTTTTTCTAAAAAAGTCTGAGTTCAAGCGAAATATTTTTTCTTCAATGCGTAGAACTTAAAAAAAACTGAAAGTTTTTCTAATGACGAGAGTATCCCAGGTAAAAAAGGATGGAAAAGCTAGTATAGAATATGCATATCACATACATATGAAAGTTTCCAATCAAATATTCCACTTGGCCGATACGCTCCCGCGTATCTCGAAAACTTCAAAACTTATAGTAATTTCGCCTTAATTCTGTATCTATCAGTATTTTACGTTTTTTTCCGTTCGTTCACTGAGAAAAAAAAATATTCCTGCAAGATGAATTTCATTTGAGAGAAGTAAATCATTTTTCTAAGGATATAAACCCCAGGCTAATCATTGCCAGGTGCTCCAAATGAGGTTTTATGCATTAGAATTAGCAGTCACGATCGAATAATTGTTTCACATGACCTTGAGTGGACGCCTTTACAATTATTAACATTGAATATTATTGCAAATCACGACGAAAATAGTATTTGATTACTTAAGATTAGAGAAGTGCATAATAATGGAGGGACTCAATTGTAAGTCATGCACTGATAGAAGAAAAACGACCGAATATCCTAGAAATAATTTCTTGAATTCAGAAAATAACACAAGCATTCGTTCAATCCGCGATTGGTTTCAGACAAGAAAATAAACTTTCTCAAAACGATGAGAAGAGTTTAAAATGAGACGAAGAGGTTTCTCCTTTCGTTAAACTCATTGCGATTGGGAACAAATGACGGTCATTTTCAGGAATTGCAGGTCATATTTCCTCTACATGAGTTCTGCTTTCATTCGATATGAAATTTCCCGATTCGTCATTCACTGGGTCGAAGCTTTCAGTATTTCGAGTCATTTTCTGATGAATATTTCACGATGCAGTGAGAACTTCTTGGTTAAAGAAATAGTTTTTTTCGTGTTCGGAGATAAGAAAATGACTCGAACTACTGAAAGCTTCGACCCTGTGAACGACCAATCAGGAAATTGACTTCAACATGAACACTTCACGGAATTCATACGTGTCTCATTGAACGGAGTTCTTGTCTCCAGTTGTCCGCAAGAGATAATATATTAGACTGAAGAAATTAGTGATATTAGGTCGTCTTTTTTCTTAGTGTATGCAACATAATCATTTTATGACGAACTAATTTGGAACGCCTCGAGAAATGCATCTTTGAAAAATGATTTACTTCTCTCAAATAGAAATATGGAATGACCGTCATTTTCCCTTTCGGTCAGGTCCGACGTAAATGACCGTTTTCCGATCCGGGCGGATTTTTATATTGTAAAACGGCCGTCACACGAGCTAAAGTGACCAAAAATTGTCGCTATATAACTGCAAATTGACCGTCATTTTTATTTCGGTCATTTTTTGAGAGTTCGATCGAAAAACTTTTCAAGAGCTGAATTATTATCATTTATCATTTTATTTATTAAGTATTATCAATGGTCTCATTCTCAATGATACACTACTAAAAAAAAATGAAATTTCATGGGCTGTTGACTAGTCATTTTCAGGACAATGTCACTGAATAAAATTTAAGGGGAGAAAAAATCATGAAATTTCAAATTTCCCTGAAAATTCAATAAAATACCAAAATTTTGAGAAGCATAACGAACGAGATTTCTTCAATTTATGAGTTTTCAAAACATGAATATCCAGTGCCCTAACCTGAACTCAGTGAATTATCCCGAATTTTCAAATAACTGAAAATTTAAGAATATGTTTATCGGAATTTTCTGATTTTCCATTAATTTCCAGGGAATGATTAAATTAAATTTGACAGAACTCATTGATATTTCCCCGAAATTTATAATTTCCTGTGACGAAATTCCTTGGAATTTCAGTGGAACTTGCATGTGATAAAAATTTCGGAAAAGTGTACCGGAAATTTCAGCAAAAAATTTTCAAAAATGTCGAATTTCGCTGGACTAGTACTCGAAAATTGAGGATCATCTATATAGATGGAAATTGACGCTCAAAATTTATTCGGTCATTTCATTGTTATGGCCTATCATCAGTTCTTTGTCGGACCATATTTCTGATCAATTCTTGGCGCAGTAATTACTGGTCATGACGATCATACTTGTCACTCACATCTCTACTCTTAAATGATAGTTTACTTAGCAGAAATCACTTCGTTTCTCAGCGTTGAAACTGTCAATATTGAAAAAGAGGATCCTCACCCAGACTATGACCTGATCCTCATCCTTGCCCTCTCTCTGCCTCCACAGCGGCACTCTTCGATCTTCATTACTTATAAAAGCTACATAACAATGCTGCAACTCCGCTGTATGCCTAGTCGCAACGTCCTGGCACAGTTTCCATACATTTTCCTCACTGAAACACATAAACCCATCAATTAAATCTCAAATGACCTTTATAATTAATCACAAACTCGCATGTCACTCTCTTTCCCTCCCTCTCCATTTAATGAAATATGAACCTTTAACTAAGTACTTTCAACAATACTGTATTGTCCTCGACTTTCCACCTTCACTTTTCGTTTCCACAAAACTGCATAAACTACATAATAAAAGTGTGTTGCGTGCAATAGCAGTAATGTCGTGTGGACAATCTCCCACGTGAATTATTAATTGTCGATAAAACTTGAATTTTATGTTGTGAAAACAAAAGAAAAACTGTGAAAACTCACACAAAGGTGAGAAAGCACAGAATAAATAAAACTCTAAAGGTGGGGATGCAGAATCTCTGTTCAACTTTCAATTTCGAAACATGGAATATTGTTTGTGTGGATGAAAATGATAGTCGAATCATTTTTAAAGTGAGTTTTTAGTGAATATATTCGAAGTTGAGTGGCCAAAATTCAGAGCTACAGAAAAAGCCCTCACGAGAATTTTGCAATCTCATTTAGTTTTCGAGATAAAAAGAAATTACCCTTGAAATGAAAATAACACTGCAGTAATTATTTTTCTGGTTTCCAGAACCAAGGGGAGACTTCTGTGAGTTTTAAAAGTCGTGGGTTATTGGAGTGAGACTTTTATGAAAAGTCATACGTTGAAGATCGATTATATAGATCTGAAAACAAGTAATTAGTGCAAAAAAAAAAATTTTTTATTGTTCGTTTGTCCGAAAACGCTTAAAACGCCAAAAACAGTCCAGGGCCTCCAATTTTTGAGCTACAAAAGATTTGTTTTTTTAATTTTCGGAAAAATGTGATGAGGCTGAAGCTGGCGGGAGCAGTTCAGCGGGAGATGGGTATAGTTTGTGAGGCGGACTGTACGGCCCCTACCGTAGCCGCTCGCTCAACGCTACATCGGTAGCCACGAGTTTAAACCTCCTCCCAGACAAATTAAATGATAAACAAGCAGAGGTAGAAGCCTATCCTACCGAAGCTTTTTTACTGTCGCTTTTTGTGATACTACTTTCTCTCGTTTTTAATTTCTACCAATTCCATTGGTAGTATGCTTCCGAATGGATCCGTAGTTATTCCATTCCAAAATCCAATTCCACTTCTGTGATGGATCGAACTCCCTTGAACACATTACATTTTCAATTAGGACCGTATAAGTTAACTCAGCATGGACCTGATGTAGTTCCCCGGATCAGGTCGGGGCTAGGATCTCCGTATAAGATCCCACACGGGTGCCCGGTTCAGGGCCTGTCTTGACCACGCGTTACATTCATGATCAGGACCATATAATTCAATAACCAGACACCAACCTGATATGAATGATGAATTTGACAGC